CCGAGCAGGTGGAAGCAATCATGCACCATGGCATCTATGTAAGGATCCGTCCGTAAAATCCAACGGCGTTGGCAGGTGCAGATAAGACCGAGCGGCGGACGCCGGTCGCGCGAGAACGACTGCCATGAACTAATCCTTTTTCGTTCAATTACACTTTTCTTCGAGATCAATTCGTACCATTCCAAGATTGGGGCGTGTATCTCACCTATAAAACTTTTAGATTACCCTTTGAACGGACGAACAGTTACAGCAACACTAAAAACCGAAATTCTTCTTTTGCTATTCCAGTTCCACGGGCAGCAGATTCCAGCACCAGTTTACGGTGCTGTGTAGATGCTGATCCGCTTTAACTGTGAACACAAAAATCGCACCGGTGAAATGTACGCCAGGAATGCCTGTTAAACAAACAGATTGATGTCCTAAAGCGTTCAGAGGCTCTAATTTCAGATTCATCATCATTTCATCCGCCCGCTAACAGTCACCTGGTGTTAGCTACCGGAGGAAGGCCGTGCGGCCTACGGAGACTGCAATGCCGAACGTTAGATTTTTGTCTAGAAGACTTGCGAGCGCATGATCAAGACTATGTTACATAATTTGTCTCGCTCGTCGATTTTGACTGACGGCTGAACGTAACCAGACTAACATGAGCTGGCCCTGTCGAGCAAAAAATTTGACCCCATTTCGACCTACAACAGCCCATCAAAAAACTGGCAAAGCCGCGGAGTGTCACTGGTTTAGAAAAGGTTCACAAAACCATTGCGAAATGAATAGCACCGGCGGGCTATTTCAAGCAGTCATTTAACGCCAGTTCCTTCCATTCATTGACTTACAAACATTTACCAGAATAAATTATTAACAAACTTGCAACTTAATTTTGAGTTCGCGCGCCAAAAACCATTTAATGATAACATAAAAAATCAAATCACAAAGTTGAAACCCCTGTTTCACACTCGTAGCTGACCATCACGCTTTGCTTTTCCCCTGGCTGGGATGGTTTCTGGCCGATGGTATTGGCTGACCTGAAGGTCAGGTGACGTCAGAGGGCGGAGCGCACCACGCCGAGCACTGTGACAAGTTTAACGTCTGCTACAATATTCTGTCGCTGGCCTGGAATTTCACGATCAGTGGAGAGATCGGGGCTCACACAACGAGCACAGCTTAACTTGAGGTCTGATCCTAGAAGTACACCCCATTCAAAATGTTCGCACCGAATCTTTAGTTAAAAACACTGGAACGTTGTTTTGTTGTTTCCCTTGTCGCCCTTGTTTTGGTTGCTACAGCAGAACTTCGGTCCAGCACAAAGCACATGGCTATGTCCGTGAAAGCGCAACCTTTCAGCCATCGCTTCCCCGTGAACGCTGTCTGGACGGTCGCATTTCTTGCCTCAGACATGATTTGACTACTTAGCGATTCCCCCTGCCGTCCTCGCCCCCCCCCCCCCTTCTGGTGGAGACGTCACGGACGTCACGTGCGCCGCCCCCCGCCGTGGACCACTGATGCAGCGGACTGGCGTCGTCCCCGCCCTGGCGGAGAAGGCTTTCCAAATTTTGGGTAAATCCAAAATTTGCCCCTCAAATTTCAGATGCCACTTAACCATAAGTCCTATGGCTCTGCGTGGTAAGATAAATATTCCAGATGCGTTCCGCCCCTCCTCCAACTCCTCTTTAGCTTCTGCGACTTCTTTTCAGTATCCGCGTTCCTGAAAACTGGCGTGATGTGAGTGTTGGCGACCTTCCCTCTTGGGCCCGGTCAGCACAAGGTCAAGAGCGAAAGTGAACGGGTAACTGGGGGACCTCCAAACAGATGTGCGCATGGTATGGATGTGCCGGCTACCGCGCATTTGAAAATCAATGTCAATTGCAAATAACTTCCACATGAGCCGCGAGGAGGCGGGCACACACCTTCTCGAGGCTGTACATGCCATTATATATGCATGTGTGTGTCAGTTCTGTTCATGTACACGGTCAGCTTATACATGTATCAGATTACCAGAACGCCTCTTGCAGGGGTGTAGAACCCTTTTCAGTTGAAGGAGGTGGGGGGCTGGCTTGAATGCCACTTCCTTCCCCCAACTGGGCTCCGGCTCCCAATGTTGGGAAGAAAATGTGACAAAAAAACGAAAACAGGTGAACCCGTTTGTCAGCGCAATGTTTTTGGAGAAGGCAGGTCTCATCATTTTCACCCCACAGTTAACCAAATTATTTTGCGGGACTACGTCCCTGGCCCTCCTGTTCCCCACCACCTTCATGCAAGGTCAATGCAAAGATCAACACTAAGGCGGCGTCATCTCGGCGCCGAGCGACTCTCACCACCGAGCCACCGAGCGGCTCTCCCTGAGCTCTGACTGCGTGAATCACCGAGTCTGCGACGTCCCCGACAAGCCTGGGTTGGCATCGGCTTCCAGCGGGCCTTCAGACACTGGCCACTAGCTGAGATCCGCCACCTCGTCGTCGGCACGACCACACGTCCAGGTGCGGCCAGTACCTTCTCGACGTCCGGGTAGTTTCGGCAGCCGGAAGGAAACATTGCCCAATGCGTCTTTGTGTATTGCCATGGCAACAAGCGACAAGCCGTACATGCCGACAACTGTTTAACAGTTTGCCGCTGCCCTGACCTTCAGCGCCGTTTGCAGCTCTCCCGGCAACTTTGCTGCTCCGCAGAAGACGACGATCCGTGGCGCTTTTAACAACCGCTACAGAGCGTTTTACGCTAACAAATGGATCACAAAACGCTCCGGTCACCCACCTAGAAGCTTTTTAGAGGGAGTTACGGCTGCACTCATGGAAGCCGGGAAGCAGCCACGGCGTTTGAGCGGTAGGAACAACGTGACCAGGCGCGACGCAGCGCTAAACAAAACAGGCGGCGACATTCACGTGTACAAGGAGCAAGCTCAGCTCATAGACAAAAAACTCGTCGTTAGTGCTCAAGATAGCGCGTTGTTAAGGTTGCGAACATGAAGCTCGATGATCATGCTACACGCGCGAGCGTTAGGGAGCCGTAATACGAGACACTCACGAAACTGCCCATCTCCTGGAAGACACGCCCACAGCGGCGCACGATCGCGCCAGCGGTATCAACATGGACTCGCCCAACAGACGTGTGCATCGGTACTTCATAGCGTACCTCGTGCTGACCTCGTGACGCAGGTTAGCCGAGTTAGCGAAAGTGTCTCAGAGTTCAAATTGTGTGCACGTTTCGAGGGCGAGTCACGTGTCCGTTCACGTGGGTACAACAGCCATGCTCTCCGGCAGACTAGACGACATTGCACGAAAAACAGTTCGTAACAATCTATCTAAATGTATGCACAAAGTTCGGGCTCGCGTTCGGAGGAAGCGCAGTGAAGTTTAGCTGCCGTTCTTTTTCGCATTCAGGCCACCAGCTGAGATGCAGATGTGTTGGTGTGATTGGTGCAAGGGAAGAGAAGAAGCTCCGCCCCCAGCATTGTGATTGGCTGCATGGTGTGGTACCGGAGCAGCTCATCTGCAAGAGAATGGAGACCGCCGAAATGAGTCAAAGGGGCAGAACCGCCTATTCCAAAGCGAACATAACGCAGAGTGTCAAGGGGGTACATCAGCCATGGGGAAAAGGAGTGACTTCACTTCAAACAACTTGTCCCATCGCACACCTAAATTCATAACAAGGACCTGTCACCACACACCATCATGGTCCTGCCTTCTCGTTAGTAGGCGCGTTGTGTTGCAGATAGGATATATTCTGGGCCCCGTTAAGGCAGTGGCGTAGCCAAGGGAAAGCTTTTGGTGTCATACCCCCCCCCCCCCCCCGGCAGATAGCGCCCCTGGCACCGAAGGCTCCAGACTTAAGACTTCCTACTTCTATTTCTTACCGTATTCTGGGCTTCTCAATAATAAAAATCGGCTTCCATCGCACCAACGTAGGGTGGAGGCAGCAAACATGAAACACTTTTCGAATAAAAATGAATCTCAATAGTGACAGAGGGACCCATACACCCCGTTTAGACTCCCCTTCGGGCAAAATCCGTGCTATGCCGCGTCCGGAGTAGAGGGGATACTCAAAACTTTCTTCTAGATGCCTGTAATAGAGCGTAATTTTCTGGAAAGTATGTCACATCCACGACAAATTACGTGCCGGACACACGCCACCGTAGCCGACACTCAAATATGCCTCTAATCATGCATCGTTAGAGGTGAGGTGAATCCACCAACGCTTATTTGATGGGAGAGCGAAAGGCTTTTGGGCATTTGGGAAAGGCGTTTTCAAGCACACAGTCATTTCATCTGTAAAATTACGGCATAGTAAATTGTAGCTCTTATGTTAAAAAACCAGCGTGCAATAGCCATCGGGCGCTGGTTTAGTGATGATAGCCTGCAGTGACCAGGATGTGTCGCGAGAACACTCTATCGACGAATCATTTCATCTGCGATGAGGACTTTGACCCTACCTTCGCATTTTGCGGAGCATGTTAAATCTTTTGTTTTTTTAAAACCCTACGCCATGCATTTTCGTGGAACCTCGTGACTGCTGCCTTTCCTGTACATGACCGTGCCAGCCGCATTAAAGGCATCTCGCCTCAATCCGCGACCAGTGACACTTCCTGGAGACATGGAATATTTCCATGGCATTCCTTACCGCTGTTTGACACCGTCGCTTACACAATATCTCCTGCGATGAGGCTCCTCCCGGTTTAATCCTCCTGTGACAATCCTCCTGTGATATCTCCTCCCGGTTTAATTGTTGTTCCGTCATATTCGGTCAGCACGGTTTCAGTACACGAACTCAGAATGCGACGAAAACGAAAAGACTGGCTTTGGCGGATCAGAGACAATAAGGCATGCCGCTCCTGTTCCACACCTGGACAGACTGTCGTCTATCCATGCGTGGTGGCATCCGTCACTGGATATATGCGAGGATATACCGCACGCAACCAGAGCTCTATCTGTGCGCAACCATTTAAAAACATGCGACCGCATATGCCACAGGAATTGCACACGCATTTTTGGAAACTGAAGCGTAACAGGACACTACATGCAGGCCATGTTGTCTACCGTCGAGTCGGGCGTCCGCCTGGGGTAAGGGAGAAGCGGAGTAGAGGGTTAAAGGGGAGGGGGAAAGGGGCAGAGGGATAGATGGAATAGAGGGGGAGGGCGTAGAGCGGTAGAGATGAGTGGAGAGTGTGGAGGGGTGTACCATCTCTCACTCACCGAGCGTTCCTAAAACATCTATCCGGGTTTCCGTAGAAGCGGTAGCCGACGTCGGCAGCCTCCACCAGGAAGTGCTTGCACCGCTGTTGGGCCCGGTACGAGAGCGTGTACCCCCAGATCCGCAGCGAGCACCGCACCAGGTAGGCGCCCGGCGGGCAGGGCAGCAGGCGCTGCTCGGCCTCGCCCCGGCCCACCAGACCTGGCCGCCGGGCAACGCCAGGTCACGCGGCGCCCGGGGACGCGGAGCCCGAGGGACACAAGGAGAGCACCGCAGGCAGCGTGGCGCCTTCAGGTGCAGACAGCACACACCGGGCACACGCAGGCGCGCGAAGGCGAATCTATGACTCATCTATGTTAAATCATCTCACTTATTGCACAATCGCAGTTTTTTACCTTACGACGGCTGAAACATCATGTTATGTGAAAAAAGGCCTCAGATCTTGCTGTTCGGCACTATGAATATGTGTCTATATATATATATATATATATTATATATATATATATATATATATATATATATATATATATGCATGATGTTAACGACCTTCAATATACTACGAGATTCTGGTTATACGGCTTGTAGTGCTGAGAACCGATTACATTGACAATATAATCGACAAGATATTGACAACTGACGATGAAACCATCAATTTAGCACTACAAAGTCGTTTACCCAGCACCACTTGGCATAATGACGGTCATGAACTCTTCACATCGCATCACAACTTTCACATCAGAACTTTGAATCAGTAAAGCTAAAACATCATTTTCCAACAGCAGCGGACCTCCCACGAGCCATGGCTTCAGCGCTCCCCACCCGTGGAGCCAGGACTTACCGTGGAACCAGGGCGCGGCGCGGCCGGTGAGGGCGTCGACGCCGACGCCGCGCGGCAGCTGGTGCTGCTGGTACCAGCGCACCACCTCCGCCCGGCTCAGCGGCCGCCGCGCAGCGTCGCTCGCCACCGAACTCAGCTCGTCGTCCAGCACGCTGCGGCAGCGACAGGCGGGCCGACGGGTGACGGGTCACGTGCGCTGGTAAGTGTACGGAGTGGTGGAGTGGTGGGAGTGGTGGGAGTGGTGGGTGTGGGGAGTGGTGGGAGCGGTGGGAGTGGTGGAAGTGGTGGAGTTTGTGGAAGTGGTGGAATTGGTGGGAGCGGTTGGAGTTGTTTGAGTTCTTGGAGTTTTTGGAGTTGTTGGAGTAGTTGGAGTGGTGGGAGTGGTTGGAGTGGTGGAAATAGTGGGAATGGTTGGCATGGTGGAAGTGGTGGGAGTGGTTGGTATGGTGGAACGGTATGCATGGTGCGAATGGTTGGAGTGGTTGGAGCGGTGAAATTGGTGAAGTGGTGGAGTGGTGAGCTGGTGGGGTGTTGAGAGGGGCGGATCTACCCTGGAGTTTTTTTTTGGGGGGGGGGGGCAACCGTTCGTCGCCAGCTGGCTGGTGCGGGATCCAAGGTCCAGCATGCGTTTTGTATATTCAAATCGCTGCCAACTTTTCTTCATAAACTTTTTTCCGAAACGGAAATAACTGTTTCATACCGCACCATCAAAGGATAGAACGGACGGTGAATAGACGAAACATTTATGAACTTCTGGGAAGGTTCTGGGGGGCCAAAACATACTCTCAGAGTTTTTTTGGGGGGCCATGACCCCGTGACTCCCCTCCCCCCCCCCCCAGGATTTGCCTATGAGTGTTGAGAGAAGTGGAAGTGGTGGGAGTGGTTGGAGTTTGGGGCGGCAAATGCAGCTGTATGTCTTCATGCGGCCCTACGGTTAGGACCACTTTACACACATTTTTCCAGTTGCAACTAGTCCACAAGAGCAACACATTTACGAGGAAGGCAGGCGGTTTTAGTGTTCTAGCATGCCCTATGCTAATGAAACAGAGGTTAAAGGTGCTTTTGCCGAGATGTTTACTCAGAATCGAATAACGATCGTGTTTTCGTTACAAAAGCTTCTCATCTTCGGCATGTGGCCACAGTTACTCCAGGACCACATGCTGAGGCTTCCTCTACGGCGCCGTGCTCACGCTCACCTCGATACTTCGCTGCTGGTGTCGAACAGCTGGTTCCAGTCGACGCTGACCACGGAGCCACTGGGCGACAATGGCGCCGCCCAGCGTCCACCTGGTGCTGCCATCTGCGGCGTGATCGTCGAAGCTTGCGACGCCGTCGGCGACAGGCTGTCATCACGCCACTGTTTCGCAAACCTGTCTTCGGGCGGCGTCCACGGCTGCTGGCCCGCCGGCAGAGTGCTGCTATGTCTCGGGTACGAGCTCAGCGTGGGACGGCGACCAAAGCCGGAGCCTCCGCGTGTTTCGGCGAGCGTGTTCGATCGCTTCACCTGACCGCCCGTTACAGAGCCGGCAGACCACGGGAACTCCAGCGCAGCCGCCGGCGGGCCGCTGGGCGCCGTCTCCGCCTGCTGCCAGGCCGGCTGGCCGTACCAGCGCTCCTGCTGCTGCTGCTGTTGCTGTTGCTGTTGTTGTTGTTGTTGTTGTTGCTGTTGCTGTTGTTGTTGCTGTTGCTGCTGCTGCTGCTGCTGTTGCTGCTGCTGCTGCTGCTGCTGCTGCTGGGTCTCCCTCCATGAAAGCCGCGCCGACGCCGGCCGGCCACCGTCGGCGCGTGGCTCCACCGCACCGGACCATCGGACCCCATCGGCCGCTGGCGGTGACGACAGCCGGTGGGAGGCGCTTGATGCCGGCCTCCCGGGCGCCGTGCGGTCCCGCGCGCCCGCGCCAGCCGGCGACGGCTGCAACTGCCGGGCGGTCGTGTGTGATCGTCATCGGCCAAATGATCAACGAAGTAAATGATCGTCAAAACTGACATCTGTCGCTGCACATGTTCGCTGATTTCGCGAGCGAGAAACGTTGCGTTGAGTTGTGAGCTCTCGCTGGCAGACACGCTCTGTATTTGGCAGGGGATCGGCTGAGGTTGGTTTGCTCGCAGATATCACAACTAATGTGAACCGAAAACACAGCATGACCTCCCCCCTGTGCTCGGTTGTACGTTATTACGGGATTTGAAAACAGTTAATACTGTCTGCTATAGATGACTCATCACGTTAAGTCAAAGGAGGCCACGTCGCATTTCCAATGCAGTTTTCTTCTATCAGTTCGCAGTTAAGCTGGCTCAAGTGAAAGCACAACTTTCTTCCAGGAAGTAGGTGTCAAAGTGATGCTTCTAAAGCCATTACACTTCTCTCAGTGGCAATGACCTCGGACGGCAGCGCTCTCGCAAACCGCACGCAGGGCGGGATTATCGGCACCGTTTACACCACCCGTCAGTATTTCTTCAGACGGCTTTGAAGATCTGACCTGACATGGTCTTGACCTTGAAATGCCCCTACATCAGTAATCTCAGTTCATATGGCAATCCTGTGCGTTAATCCAGGCGTGCCCTGCCCTCACCTTGACACCAAATGTTCTTGCAAAAGACGACGAACGCTAATAACGCTCACGATATAATCACATGTTTTCACGCAGCCATGCGGGTCGCCATTACGCAGTCGACGTTCAAGTGAGACCTCTTGAGCCCTCCTCAGAGGCTGTGACCCGCCTCCTCGTCCCCAGCGCGCCGGGAGCGCTACCGTCCAAAGGTAAAACCCCATGTGTTCATTTGTGACCATTTTGCGTTTATTGTTTCATCTGATTCTTCTACTCGTTCGGATTTCGGTTATTTAAGCAATCAGTTGTTTCCACAAACTTTTAGCCGTCTCTTTTAGCTAAACATTTGCGAAAATCTTAACTATTGGTCTCAATATCCGAATGTAGCATAAGAAGATGAATCAGATGACATAAAAAACGCAAAGTGACCAGAAATGAACATATGTGGTTTTACCTTTGGACGGCAGAGTGCCGCCGCGGTACGGGCCGCCGGCGCGGGCGGAGCTACGCACCCTGCCCGTGATGGTAAGGAGCTACGCACCCTGTCCGTGATGTAGCGGTGTTTCTGCAGGCTCTCATGGCCGATACGGCTGATCTGGCTGCCCACCTCGTCCGCGTCGGGCTCCTCCGATTCTGGAGAATCGTGACACGGAATGAGCAGGGGATTATCAGGGAATTGGTGTTCAGAACTGGCGGCAAGGCGAGCACTGTCCTCACGAACTCTAATATTTTTTTGAGGTCAGCTGGACGACGCCGTCACGGTGAGCCCCCGAAGAAAATGTAGGGGGCCCGTTTTTAGTTGTCTGAAACAGCACAGGGTTAATGTACGGGGCCGACACACTGGTTGCCCCCAGCCCTCACACGCGCGCACGCACGCACGAACGCACGCACTAACGCAAGCACGCACACACGCACGTACATATTCCACCGCTGTCCCCTGGACGATACCAACCATTCACAAACTAATATTTAAGAGAAAACACGATAGAACGACATTTGAACAGTGATACATCACATGACGCTGACAGTAGTGTAAGCAGACACATCGGGATAAAACAATATCTTCAACACGCATAACACACAATCCGCACGTTTAATGTTTCCCAGAACTGCGTAGATTTAGGGGAACGACGAGAACAACGACCACCAGTCAGAACCCATAAGGAAACGGAAATCAGATCAGACCCCAACAACCCACCCATCCAAGACGGCAAAAGCTCATCCACAGTGGCGCGTGCTGGCCGGCGATGCCGGTACGGGGAGAGGGCGCAGCGGGGTGGTGTATCTACCACGCCTACCCTCTTCTCAAACAGCACGTGGTCGGGTCGACCTGGACCGTGTTCGCCATTGGCAACGTATCTACGTGAGTTGCTACATATGATGTCACAAGTGTCTTCGTCATATATCAGTGACTTTATTCCGAGTCGCAGGAGCTGTTGTGATGCACTTACACATGACATCACAGGTGACAGCTTGTGGACTTCGTTTGGTAATGGGGACCGCGGCCCTGACGAACTGCCCGACACGTGTCCCACGGGAGAGGGGGGATGTGGGGTGCGTTAGTGTCACGTGCTGTCTGTGCGGTCGCTCCGGGTGGCCCGCCGCACCGCATTCTCACACAAGTCCCGCAGCGTGCGGCGCTCACCATGGTAACCGATCCGTCTTCCGTTGGTGCGTGGACTGGTGCTGGCGACGGAGGCGGCCCGAATGCCGCGCGCGCCCTGGTGCCGGTCGCCGTCACCGGGCTGGCCCTCCCACAGGGCGATTTGGCGGGAAAGCACGTCCTGCTCAAACAAAACTGGCTGAAGGTTTCTACATGGCTATGATCTGTACGGTCTGCATGGTTTCTCCATGGTCAGCCGAGCATGGCTACGCTTATGTTAAGTGGAGCGGACATTATAACAACGTACAAAAAGGAGAACACTTATCATGAGCCTTCGTGTGGGCAAACGTAGCGACCACACTCCAAGACCAGGTTCGTTTTCGACCTATCTCACGTAAGCAGCTCAGAGGCAGGTTAAGCGATCAGATGCCCGCCGCTTTAGCCGGGCTGTTCTATGCTGCCAATCATCGGATCAATGACGTGCATGAAAAGCAGCTGATTCCAATCCAAAAACTCGACGCACGCCCGTTGATGCGGGCAACTCTAACCTGGCGTGCATCGTTCTAGGCGCATTTTCTTCCAATAAGTCTTAATCAATCACAGTTCGTAGCAATAGTAGCGCATGTAAAACCCATCCAAAAACACATAAAAACAGCTCAGCGCTAAACACCCGGCGTTGCAATCAACCTGCTCGGATCCCAACTAGCGTTAAGGTGACTCTTAAACAACAAAACCATTCTCGGTAGCCATACCCATATCCGGTCTGTTGACACGCTTGCATGGAAAACACGTAATAATCATGTGATATTCCACACTTCGAAACCACGTTCAAACACTTACAATGCGTATCGCACCCGAAGACAAGAAAATTGAGTTGGAGGCGTTTCCACCTTACGTAACATGTAGGCATACATCATTTAAATAAACACGTTGTGATGTTTCACCCAGAATGAGCCTACAGAAAGGCACAAACATTGGTAAACATACGAAGCGAACACGAAGCGTCAGTAGCACCAAGCAACAGGAGACGACAATGTTAATAAGAGATCTGCTTACATGTCTGTTATGTTCCGTCCCAAGCAGCCAATCTCCGACCACCAAGCGAGTCCAGTTAGAACTATCGTTTTGTCCAGGCGTCCACAGATGACGCGCATTGTGCTGCAGTGGACGAAGCACTCCGAAGGACGGCGACTGATCCTAGAATACGTGACGTCACTGGTCAGGCAGCACGTGACGTCACTGGTCGGGCAGCACGGGACAGCACAACGCCACGCTTGCACTCGATGCCGATATAATTTCTTGCTGGCCCAATGCGATAGTCAACCACCCACAAAATGGGGGTGGAATATTCAACGACTCTAGACAGAGGACCAAATGTGGGTTTCATTTCGGCGTGAGCAACGAGAATGCTGGGAATGTAGATTCAGTGGGAAAATGTGGCCCTTGCATGCCAACAACTAACTGTTTGTTCCTTTTTGACTGGCTTTTGAAGGTTGCACACAAAAAGATGCCAGCGCGAAATAACTGCCGCCGGGTGAAAGCCTAAGCGACAAAACACTGTCACAAAATACAGTGCGGCTGCTTCGCACACCATTCAAGCAGACACTAAGCAATACACAGTTACACTCTGATCACCAAACAAATGTCCTAATTCCGGCACATCGCAATAAAAGGAAAGACCGGACCTTGACACGTCTAAGCAACGCTAGAAATCATTAATCCAGTGCGGAGCTAGTGGTTAGTGGGTTAAGTCTGTTCGTGCCGCAGACAACAAGCGTAGAGTTTCAATGGAGCACTCAGATGCGTACGAAATTGGAGACCTAAGGAGTTGTACCTCCTCCCCAGAACTTTAAGGTATTCTAGGGCCTTGCTCAGTCCATTGCAGACATACAATATACAACGGGGATCTTCACAATAACTTGGGAGCAAATCGAGCAATATCGAAAATGTTACAAAAATGTGCGCAGCTTTTCAAGACACCTGGGGAAAACGAGGGCAGTTGCAACAAAAATATGCGTGTTAGTCAAAGCCTAAAATAATTCCAGGATCTGCGAATGCATCCTTCGGCAGCACGCCTACAGTATCGTCTGGAAAAGGTCATACAATGACAAAGTCACCAGGAACATTACGAAGAGTGCATGAACGAATCTTAGGGCAGTCTTCAGACTGTAGAAGGCCCCTGTTTGTAAGGCTTGGAACGAACCGTGTGTCTGAGAAAGGGCCACGCACTTGAGACGTCTCTGGGGCGGATAAACGAACTGTGTGTCTGAGAAAAGGTCGCGCACTTCAGACGTCTCTGGGGCGGATAAACGAACCGTGAGTCTGAGAAAGGGTCGCGCACTTCAGACGTCTCTGAGGCGGATAAGCGAACCGTGTGTCTGAGAAAGAGTCGCGCACTTCAGACGTCTCTGGGGCGGATAAGCGAACCGTGTGTCTGAGAAAGAGTCGCGCACTTCGGACGTCTCTGGGGCGGACAAACGGACCGTGTGTCTGAG